CCCATCCAGCCTGACCTTGAATGTTTCCAGTGATGAGGCATCTACCGCCTCTCCAGGCAACCTGCACCAGTCTCTGTTCCTGAATTGTAATGCCGGGAGTATACTTATATTCTGACTAGTGAATATTACCTTTTATTGTTAACTAAACTATGGGGTTTGTTTTGGTTTTTACCTTGAGTAGCTTAATTAGTGTTTCTTTTTTGTATTACAGGCGGGATAGTATTTTGTTCTTGTTTTGTTTTCTATTCTAATAAGACAGCACTGAGATTTGGATTTGAGAGGACTTTAATTATCAAATGTGGATATTGACACTCTTGGGAATAAAGAGCTGTGCTGCCTCATGTTTTTTTCAAGATATTGGATTATTTGCATATTAAAATACAGAATGAGTATTGGGCTGGATAAGAATATGAAGAAGGATGGGTAGTAATAAATTTAAATAAAATTCACATACCACCAAGCACTCTAAGAAAAGCATTGCATTTTCATGTGCAAATGTTTATTAAAGAAATTTTTTTGAACAGAAACCTCTAGTTTGATGGCTTTTTGTTTAGTTTTGGTGGTTTTTTTTTTTTAGCTTACATGTTTTCAGTTAAATTTATCTTTAATGGGTGAATTCAAAGGCAAAGGTACAGCTGTGTCCTACTCTTTCAAACCAGCAAAAAGCCTGAGTTTGTCCATCTCACCATGGACAGCTATCTAGTAATCAAGGTTTGTTGGGTGATGAGCTGCCACGAAGATATCAGGAAGTACCGGTAGGGAGTAGTTCAACATAGGACAAAGACCCACTGTGAGGTTCCCTGTAGTCTTTACGTGGTCAGGACTGTTGGCTGTTAGTTTAGAGCAATGCATTTATCCGCACGGATTTATAGTACACAGGTTGCTTCCCATGTCCCTGAGTAGGTCTGTATTCCCATCAGCAGAACACTGGAGGAGAATGTTTTCTGTGACGGGTTTCTGGAGGCTGGGAATGCCTGGGTGTTTCAAAAGGCACATCATTGTTGCCAGATGTTGCCATTGGACCTCTGTTGTGGCTCCTGTGAGCAGCATCCCTCTTCCATTATGGGATTCCTGCACCTCAGAGGCTTGTTTTGAGAAAGCTTTGTGCTGGTGAGATGCAAACTCCCTCATTTATGAAATAATTGTTTTTATTGACCTTTCAGCAGCATTCTGTTTAACAATTTCTGTGTGCTTTATTAAATCTGGGTTTGATGCAGTCTTTGTGAGGAGGGCTTTCCCTTCAAGCATTAAAAAAAAGACTCCTGAAATGTAGTTAAGCTTGGTGTTGGTGGGCAGCTTGCAGAACTTCCCAAGATTTGCTTTTACAGTTTACAGCTAACTCAAATACCTATTTCTGTCTTCTGCTTGCTGTCTCAAGTTCTGGCGTGATGGATTTCAATCTAAATCTGACTCTTAGGAGTATGCAAAGTTATGTATGTGATAGCAAGCGTGCAAACTTTATTCACACTAATGTTGCAGTTTAATAGACTCAGAATGTCTTGTTTGAAACATTTGGTGTTGTGACTGTCTTTCTACCATCACCACTTCTAATTTCTAAGTGAAGGTTAAGGGACACAATCTACTACATATCATTTCAGGAAAGGTCATGACCTCTGGAGACTTCTAGCAAATGAGAATAACAAGTCGGAAGGGAGCATCATACTGACAGTCATGTTTTCCAGGTGTATTTTCATGCCTTAAAAATAAAACAGGAGGGAAAAAAAAGAAGTTCCCAGTGTTAAGGGTTGGTGGTCCTCTCTCTGGCAACTCTGGCTTGCAAAATCTATACTGTAGCTTCTTGACAAAAAAAAATAAATAACTGCATTGTGGTGAAATGTCTATGAATTTCTACTGGGACTGTAATCTTTGGAGTATTTAGCAAAGGCTACAGAGTAAATGGCCGTATGAATGAAGGAAGAACAAGTGACCCAGTTGTGGGGCTTTTTTAAATTTTCCCCAGATAGTTCTGCAACCTCATTGCTGTTATCTTCTCCTCTCCCCCCACTCCTCTTTTTCTCTTCTGTTTTATTCTGGCAGTCTCATCATGACTGTTGAGAGAGACTTTCTACAAGCGTTATAAATGCTGAAGCATCATGGCCACCACTACAAAATTTTGAGCTAGTAGGTCATTCTCTGAAAACAATACCTTTCAGATAGCTGCAGTCTTTTAATTTCAGTGTACTGTAACAACAGGTTTAACAAGATATTCTTCCTTTTGAGGATTGGTTCCAACTCTTTAACTTTTTGGAAGCCTCTTCCTTCTGTTGAGGAAAATTATTTTTTTTTAATGGTGGTGCATAATGTGCTGTAGTGGAACTTAAACTGCCTGAGGGCTCTATTGGGGCTGCCAAGTCTGTGAGACTAGGCATCTTGACTTTGCAGGACTGTTTTCCTGAGGGGAAAACACAGTCATCAGGTTCATTGTATAGTGACAGATGTTTAATTTGTAAATGTCATGGCAACTTCAAGGTCTCTGTGTTTGGTATACAATGCTTCAAATACTGCTTTTACATGAGAAGACAGCTGTGATGTATGGCTGGAGTCGCTGCAGTTCTGCTTTCTTTTTTTTTGAATTCTCTTGGAGAAGATGGCTCTTAACCCTCTGCTAATAATCTGTTACAGCCGAGGTGTGTGATGTCTCTTGTCATGATGTGAATGATGTAAAAATCGTGCTGATACAAAGTTTGTAACATTCAAATGTACTCTGATTGTTTCTTTATTTTCATTGTCTTTCAATGTCACTTGCCTGCAGCATCTGTAATAACAGATTGTTTTAGTCAGAGGGGATTTATTTGACTTAGCAGGTATCTGCATCTGACCTAGCAGTCTTGACTCCACCTGTAGCAAATAAAGATAAATCAGTGGTTCTAGGGTTGTAGACACATTGCATCACACATGTGGCTACTATTTTGCCTTGACTGGACATTAGAGCTAGTCAGTTTGGCATCTCTTTAGAATTATATTAGAGGAAGCCACCTTTAAAAATAGAAAGAATAAAAAACCTTGTGGTCTTAATATTCTGAAATGTCCTAAAAGTCCAGTTTGGCTACACTCAAGACATTCAACCTATGTATCTAAGCCATAAACATCTTTGTCCTATTAAGTAATTAGGGGAGTTAGGCATTTCTGAAGGGTTCACACAGGCTGACACTTGAAAGGCACAGTAGCAATGATTTCCATTTTATTAGCAGTAGAAGGAGCATATAAATACTAGTCTCCTTATGTAACTGAGGTGCTAAAAGTAAATGGGATGAATTTTCTACCCTCTTTCAGTTTAAAACCATTCCCCCTATAAGTTCACTACATGCATTTATAAAAAGTCCCCCTCCTGCTTTCCTGTAAAGCCCCTTTAGATACTGGAAGGCTGCTCTAAGGTCTTCCTAGAGTCTTTTCTTCTTCAGCCTGCCTTTATAGGAGGGGTGCTGCAGTCCTCTGATCATCTTCATAGTCTTCCTTTTGACTTGCTCCAACACGTCCCCATCCTTCTTATGATAGGGATCCTGAGGTGAATGCAGTAGTCTGTGGGGGTTCTCACATGAGCAGAATAGAGGGGCAGGATCACCTCCTTCGACCTGCTGGTCACAATCCTTTTGATGCAGCCCAGGGTACGATTGGCTTTCCAGGCTGCAGACACATATTGCTGGGTGATGTTGAGCTTCTCAACAACCAGTGCCTCCAAGTCCTCCTCCTCAGGGCTGCTTTCAGTCCAGTCTCCACCCAGCCTGTATTTGTGCTTGGGATTGCCCTGATCCAGGGACCCTGTGCTTGGCTTTCTTGAACCTTATGAGGTTTGCATGGGTCCACCTCTCAAGCCTGTCAAGATCCCTCTGGGTGGTATCCCTTCCCTCCAGCATATTGACTGCACCACCTTATTTTCCATGACTTTCCATAGTTTCCAGGAGGATGTGCTCCATGGTCTGACCAGGCACTGAGGTGAGACTGACTGGCCTGTTGTTCCATACGGTTTTCTTTTTTACCTTTTTAAAAATGGGGGTTATGTTTCCTCCTTTCTAGTCGGTGGGAACTTCACCGGACTTTCACGACTCTTCTCAAATATGGTGGATAATTGCTTGGCAACTTCATCTGCCAGTTCCCTCGGGACCTGTGGAGCAGTTCCATCAGATTGCATGGACTTGTGCACCTCCCTTAGATGGTCTCGAGCCTGGTCTTCTCCTACAGCAGGCAGTTCTTCATTCTGCTGGCCCCTGCCTTTGCCTTCTGTGACGTGGGGAGTGTGGCTGGAGCTCTCGCCAATGAAGACCAAGGCAAAAAAGGTCACTGAGTACCTCAGCCTTCTCCCTATCCCAGGTAACTAGGTCTTCCATTTCCTTCAGGAGAAGGCCCACATTTTCCCTATTCTTCTTATTATCACTCATGAGCCTATAGAAACTTCTTTTGTTGTCTTTGGCGTCCTTGTCCAGATTTAGTTCTGTCAGGGCTTTAGCTTTCCTAACCTGATCCCTGGCTGCTTAGGCAGTTTCTCTGTATTCCTCCCAGGCTACCTGTCCTTGCTTCTATCCTCTGTAGGCTTCCTTTTTGTGTCTGAGTTTGTCCAGGATAAGCTTGATATTCATAAAATACCTGTGCATTTCAATCTGCATCTACTGATATGCATAAATGGAGTAATTAGACTGCTGTTGTATCTATATGTACCGCATGATTCTCCAAAATGTTCTGTTTGTAGTCTTTGAAGCAACTGCATGTAAATTTTTTTTCTGAAAAAATTGCAATTCACATTGCAAGAATGTTCAGGAGGAAAAACTGCAGCCAAAGAAAGCGTCCAGCTGCTCTATGGTTCACAATCAGATTCTGGATTGTGCTTTTCTGTTGCTTGTTACATGATGGTAATAGCTTGTGAGTTGCTGAAAAGTTACTAATTCATATACTTTTAGCTGGAGTTGAAGGGAGAAAGAGAAGGTGGGAGCAAAACTAACTTTCCTGAATCCCACAGTGACTGTATCTGATAAGTTAATGCAACTACGTTTGTTATTTTATCATAGATAAACTCTGAAGAACGTGTTGATACAGCTGATAAGGAGACAGTCTCTTGGAATCGCAGTATTCCTGAAGACATAAAACAAAAAATACAGCCTAAAGAGGTTCCAGCAGAAAGTGTTACTGTCTGGATCGATCCATTAGATGCTACACAAGAATACACAGGTAGCTGATTCTTGCTGACAAATCATGTGTGTAATTCTGATGTCTGCCTTTTATACTGGAGTCAAAATAGTAAATGTTTAAAACAACATCTCTTGCTAAAGTGTATTATGTCAAAGCAGTGTGATTTATTGTTCAAATTGCATAATGAAATCTCTATACGTATCAGACTGCATGGTTTACTTTTATGTAGTCCAACTCTAAAATTACTTTGGTATTCCTTGCAACTTGCAACTAAGTAGTTGCTAAAATAAATAACTGTCATTTATGGATTCTGCTGGAATTATAAGCTTCTGTATTTCAGTTATTACTGTGGCAATGCTAAATTTTTTGGAATGTGTTTTGCTTGTTTAGTTAAAGGGAATACTCTGTAAGTATTCTATTCGACTTGATATTAAACAAAAATGTTACAGTTTTTTAAAAAAGCGTGCATAATTAAATCTTCCCCTTTTTTCAAATGTTTAAAGATCCAAGTAAAATTCTTGATGATAAGTACGGAAGAGCAATCTAAAAAATGGGGATTTTTTTTTTTTCCTTTTTTCTCCAAATATTCCATTGATACAACCACCCTTTCTGGGGAATGGTCTTTGGTATTTGAATTATTAGCTTTGAACCAGTAAAGGATAGGAGGTGGGGCAGATAAGGGAGAATATAGGGGCACAGTTTTCCATGAAAACACATACTGCATAAGACAGAGTTGTTAGCATTAGATCTCGTAGTAGTATAGGTTACATCTACGGAACAGGAAAAAATTGCTGGAAAGCTGAAAACGTCTTTGAAGTGTTTTGAAAACTGCAAGAGTTGTTTGAAGATACAACAGTTACATAATTGTAAGAGGCAGAATGTAGACTTGCCTTCCAAAACCAAAATGTCTGTAATGTTAAGTCTGTGTTCTTTCTGTGTTCCTGCTGTAAAGTCGCTCACTTTCTTGTTTTGCCCACAGAGAATCTCCGACAGTACGTCACGACAATGGTTTGCGTGGCTGTAAATGGTAAACCAGTAATAGGAGTGATACACAAGCCATTCTCGGCATATACAGGTACTTTTATGGCTTCACATCTTTCCAGCATCTTCAGTCGTACTGTTAATTAAAATGTTAATTTAAATTAGTTAAATTAAAAATTTAAATGGTGTCTGAGAGAACATCTGTAGGTATGAATGAGAAAATAGTACCTGAGGCAAAAGAGTGCTGCTGCAGACCTCAGAATTAGAGCTGCAGCTGTGTTATGTGCTATAAAACCACAAAGCAAAATGCTGCCTCAGCATAAAAACGATTCACTTTAAATTAACTGAAAATATGTTTAAGAATTAAGATCCGTTCAATCAAAGTGCTTCTAGCAACCCAAAGAAAATGAAACCTACACATACTGACCAGTCTTATGTATGCTGTTAGTCTTTAGCAGAAGAGTATTTTGCTTATTCAGCAGAACTTGTGACCATGCTATTATACCCAGGAGCTGTTTTTTATTCAATGTGAATAACAAAGATTGATTAAAGATCTTAGTGGCAACTACTTGTATGTAACAGGCAAGGCTGTCTAGCATAACCTTATCGATTATCTGACATGCTTTTAATGCCACAACTGTGAACTAATAATTCTTTAGTATTATACATGATGTATCCGTGGGCATGGCAAGTTTGGCAACGTGTATGTACTTCTCAAAGCTTCAAAGTAGTTTTAGTAGTTGCATCTTGCTCTATTTGGAAGAACTTCTGTTCTTGTTTTCCCTTAGGCAATACTGACCTCTAGAGTTGTGAAGTTATGCAGTAGCTCTGGCACAGAAATAAAGTCTGAATAAATGTGGTTTTTTTTGTTTTTTTTTTGTGGGTTTTTGTTTGTTTGTTTGAGGTTTGGTTTGGGTGGGTTTTGTTTTGTTTTTTGTTTGGTTTGGGTGGTTTTGTTGGTTTTTTTGGTTGTTTTTTGGGTTGTGTACCACCACCCCACCCCCCAAATGCTCAATGTTTTGTGTGAAAGATTTTACTGTCTTTAAATATGAACTTGATTTCCAGTTGTTTAAGTATGTGCTGTATTCCAGTATGCTCTAAGAATCTATGTTGTGGAAGATATTTTTCTGCTATCAGTATTTATATGAAGGAATGTGTTGTTTTGTTTTTTTTTTTAACACTGTAATTTTGAGAATTTATCTCCTTCAGTAATAATAAAGCATGAAATATTCAGACATGGCATCAGATGAGATACAGTGAATTCTGTCATTCTGTGTAATGAGTATTCATTTCTCAAGCTGGAAATGCCAGTATGTTGTGAATAGGATTGTTCCTAATAGTACCAAACAAATACAAAGAAATAAAGGGCAGTCAGAATTGTTATTACACATATCTCAGTCTGTTGTCGTGAAATCTGGCCCTCTACTGAGATGAAATTTCTGGTTAGTCTGCTACGTAAACATCAAATTAATGGTTAGGGGATATCACCTACCAAGCTTGGCTTTGAACCTTATAATGAAACAAGTAGGGGATTATGTATTCTAAATCCAGTCCTCCAAAACACACCATCTAATGTTTTCCTTAGTATTACTATCCTCCTGAGCTATTTCCTTGCTTAGCATTACTACCTTTCTGAGTAAAATGCCTCAGTAACATTTTGCTATCTGCTTTGATGGGTAGTGGGGCTTCTTTTTCTTGTAAAAAGTTTGTTTGTGGAAATTCTGGGTCTGTTTCAGACTCAGAGCCATCCTTTTAACTTTTATGGCTTTCCAATTGCAAGTTCTCAGTAGTACTATTTGGGATTCTTTGCCCTTACTCTATATTTTGGAAGTAGCACACATGAATAGTCTGGTATGGGATAATGCCATATGCAGAAAGGCGTGTGTATGGGGCTGTTTTGCTTTCTCTTCTGTTTGTGTGCATATGTGGGCATGTAACCCTTCCTTCTGTCAGCCCTAACTTTCTCTTGTACAGTAGGGAGAGAAATTAGAGGCATCAGTTCCATTTTCTCAGATAAGTATCCTTTTATCTTTACACTTAAGAGAGATTGCCTTTTGTAAATCTCAACAGTTTTGTTTTTTTTTCTCTTGTAGCCTGGGCAATGGTGGATGGTGGGTCAAATATAAAAGCTCGTTCTTCCTACAATGAGAAAACCCCAAGGATTATCGTATCCCGCTCCCATGCAGGAAAAGTTGAGCAGGTTGCACGACAGACATTTGGAAATAAAACTGTGATAATCCCAGCTGGTGGAGCAGGTTTGGTTCCTTGAGCATCCTATCTATTTTACTGCTTCTGAATGATTTGGTGGGATAGCGTTATTAGGAAAAAAAAGGAAATAAGTATGGAATCTCCTCTTTTTCCTCTTATATTTTGTTCTTCACATCTCTATAAGCAAGCACGTGGCAATAGGGACACAGGTTATTTTCTTGCCTGTAGAAGCTTACATGCAAATTTGGTTCAGGCTTTAGACTGTTCACAAGTTAATATTAGTGTATCTAAGCCTGGACCAGCAGTGTTGCTGAGGTCCTCTTACTGAGCACACTGATGTGTGTTCACTCAAATCACCAATGACTCTGTGGAGGAAAAAGGGTTGTGTAACCACATACAGAATCATCGAAGAGAATCTGATGGTTGTTAGTTAAATAGTATTAACAAACGTCTTGGGATTTTTTTAAGAAAAAGCCATTAAAGTCTGGTACTATTTCTTGCATTTATGTCAAAAGAGAAAACTAATGGCATTAAAGTCCATTTTTATCTGCCTCGTACTCAGTCCAAACAGGTTTTAGCATACTTTTTGTGACCCTACACAACATACTTGTGCATGTTATTGACAGAACGCAAATACACAAGGCACTAGTATGAAGCAGTAACTGTTCTAAAGTCTCAGAAAAGCCATGAAAAATTCAAATTTTATGGAAATGTATCTTCTGTGGAAAGCTAGGGCTCCCCTACAGATTGTTTAGTAAAGAAGATTTTGCACAGGTTCTTGATGATTGATCTAAACTTGTTTTCTTACAACAAAGTGAAAGTGATTATAGCTGATCTTCTCTGGGGCTTGACTCTGTATAAGAATATAAAAAAGGAGCAGCTTAATAAAACAAGAATATTGGTTGAACAGTTGAAAAATTGAAAAAAATCCACAGAAGAATACCATTTTGACCAATGAGTGTGTACTGTGTAATGTATGATAAAAGAGAATACCCTGGGCTGAGTTGCTTTGTTAAAGAGTGGTATATGCATCTTCCTTACATTGGTAATAAAAAGCCAGGAACAAAAAGGTAGACTAGCATAATACAGAGGTAGAAAACTAAGTGAACATAAGAGCAAAACTGTATTTGAGTTTCTGGTGGTCTTTCAGTGCATCTCTAGGCAAGTCAATGTAGCATATTGGTAAAGGCTGTCTAAAAATAATTTGTCTCCAGTACCCAAGGTTTTAATTGGGTTGCAGTGGAATTGTGGGTTGGGAGGGAGTGTTCCTTTTTCAAACTTTCTCTACAGGTCAAAGGGCAGATAAAGTACATTATATAAATGATACAATGACATCACTTTCCTAAATGTTGTGTATGCGTATTATTACATTTGCCCTTTGTGGAGAACAGGAAAACTTGGGTTAACTTCTTTTAACCTCTTCCCCTTTCTTCTAGGCTATAAAGTGTTGGCCCTCCTTGATGTGGCTGAAAAGAATCAAGAAGAAGCTGATGTGTATATCCATGTCACCTACATTAAGAAGTGGGACATATGTGCTGGAAATGCAGTGTTGAGAGCATTGGGTGGCCATATGACTACCCTATCTGGTGAAGAAATTAGTTACACTGGCTCAGATGGCAATGAGGGAGGACTTATAGCCAGTATCAACATGAACCATAAAGCACTAATTGAAAAACTTCCAGATCTGGAAAAAACATCACACAAATAAACATGACTGATGGAGAAGTACAAGTCATGCTTTTGTAACCTCCAAATGCTCTGTCTGAAGAAGCAGGTGTGGAAAACCTGCTGGGAAAGATGCACAGCAAAGCAGTTTGGTGTGGGTTTGGGGACTATATCATGCATTGGGTTTCTTCAGTGGTGGTATTTAAAAAAGAATAATAATCAGAAGTAGGAAGGGGACTGACTGCCTCACATCTCAGTTTCCATGTTTTATTTTTTTCAGACTGTTTTCATGCAGTTCTTACACTGAAGGTGCATTTACAGTATATATTGGTGAATGTAGGTGAACTAAAGAAAAATCCAAAATTATTCATAAGTAGTTCTCACAGGAATTTCTTGGAACCTTTTACATCTTGTTACTGTAGTTGTAGCAACTGCATAATGAATTAGGTAGGGAAAGGTTGATTTATATAGGCATCTGATAACTGTGGACAGTTTAGCAGGAAACATGATTCTGTGTTCTGTATCCCCTGAATGGAAAGCACAAGAAGGTTGACACATTTATATGCAGCAGCAGTTTATATTTGACAGTGTGGCACTCCTTTTTAAGAGAGAGAAAAAAACCCAACATGTTCTGTACTGTTTTGACTTTTTCCTGTAGATGTAAACTAGTTTAGTTGAGATGGGTTGTGAATATCAGTGGTTTATTAATCAGTGTATTTATTTCCATATACCTTTTTTTAAAGAAGGCAGCATTTCTGTGTATAATTTTTAACAGTTACTTCTGGTTCTTGATTTCTGCTTAGAGTGTTGAAGATGCATGCTGGACTTTAATGCAGGACTTGTTCATCGTTTGGTGTTTGTGCCTGTAGAAGCTGCCTCTTCCTTCAGTACCTGGGGTGTTGTTTTTTTTTTGTTTCTGTTGTTCCACTGGACAGAGTCATATGAAACGAGTTTAACAGAAATAGTAAGTTGATTGGTTAGTTTTGTTTACAACATGACATAAAACCCAGCAATTTTTCTACAACCCCCAAAATAACTTTCTTTTTAGGTTAAGGTGCACTCTTTTCTGCAAAAAGCTCTTGAGCCATCCCAAGCAGCTTGCAGTTACTCGGTTTGTGATACTTTATATAGAGAGAGACAATTTGAATGTGAATCTGTTCAAGCAAGTCTTTGAAGAACATGTGCTTAAAGTACAGCAGGGTCTGCAAAACATTACTAAAAAATGTTCTTTGTCCATTCAGTATATACAGAAGAGAACGTGGGCCCTTTGATATCAAATGAGTTTGTTGCACCTCAAAAACACATGGACTTCTATCTGCAAAAATGTATCCATCTGTATTGTTCTCTGCATCCCTTTGAAGGGTTTCAGAAGGTTAAAAATTTACCTGTTATTTGAATTATCAGTAGGTAAGCTTCCCATCTCGCTTTGAAAGCTAAAATTCTTCATTAATATAGATTCTTTCTGTTCAAAGTTTATTCAGTATAAGCTTAGGCTGTTTAAACCAAATCCTTGCATTACTTTCATTTGAACTTCTTTTATCATACTGCTGTTCTGATTAAGAAGAGGTTTTTCTCCTTATATTGGTAGTGGAGCATGTTAGATGCGTTTTTTAACTTCTAGCTAATACTCATATTTCCAAAAGACAGCCTCCTCAGATGTTGCATGACAACAGATACAGACTTTTATTTTGTAAACTTACTGGCAAAGTAGACTGCAGCTTAGTCCTACTAGCCTTCTGGTACGGGTAGTTTTTTTAGAGAACTCTTTTTCCAAAATTGACACTATTGCTGCTGTTTGAAAATAGCTTTTATGCATGTAGATAATACACAAAGGAACTTCCAGTTTTTAAATTACTATATGCTGTGACAAATAACTGAACAAGCCCTTTTTAAAAAGGGTCTGATCTATTTTGAAGAACTTGTTGAGCTTCCAAACCTCAGTAAAGAATAATAAATCCAGGCTTTAGTAATATTTTACAAGAAGACTGCAGCTCTTTTTCCTTCAGGCTGATTTAAATGACTTAAAGCCTAATAAAAATAATAAAAAAAAATATGGAGCAGCTCTTCTGTTTATTAGTTAAAGAACACTGATTAAAATTTAAACATGAGAAATAGCCATAGTTAGCCTAGTATTAAAACCTAATTGTGTCACAGAGGTTGAATGCACAATACTTAAATAGGCAATTAAAGTCTGTGGCACATTGTGGTTTTAGATTCAGGTTGAAATCATATGTTAGCTTACCTTGTGAAAATGTGCTTTTTTTTCAGGTACGATTCTATCACATCCTTGCATAAGCTGTGATCAGACTTAGCTTCTATATGAGAAATGAAAAATAAGATGTTACATGTTGTATGAGGGTTTACTTCAACCTCTTAGTTGAAAGTATAGAACAGTAAACAAGTATTTGCATGAATTATTCTTCCTTAGGAAGAGAAGGTCCAGGGAAGAGCTTCAGTCCTCCTTTCTTTCCTCCCCTATGCTGGCAAAAATACCTGGTCTTCCATTGGGAAGGTGTGTGCTTGGTTAGACCCATTTGTATCCTAAATTGTCTTGTTGCAATGGATCAGTGTTTAGTACCTTTCATGGGGACCCTTACTGGCCCAATACTATTTTTTGTGACATGAAAGAAAAGTGAGAGTGAGGTGCCCAGTTAATTACTTCTAGGACAGCCTGAGCTTGTACAGCTTTCCCACAGCTGAGGCCTAAGGTGGTGCTTGGGGTTTACCAGTCTATTTCAATAGAGGAGTTGCTTGGTGTGAGAATAGGTAAGAACCTGGTGAATATCGGTTTCTGATGTCATTTTACAATAAATGCAACTCTTATGCAGACCAGCAGTTGTTCAGAAGTACTTAGTGCACATGTGTTAGTGCACTTCAATACTTGTTTGTGTAGTGTTAACACTCAGTATGTCTTATTTCTTTGACTGTGTTTACACTCCATTCTAAAACTTTGTTACTCTGGCTTAAGTATTTGTTTGGTCCTAGCTGCATGGATGTGACTTAAGCTTATGCCCAGAGTGGTGGGAAATCATACCATACCCATGTCTCACTGCTGGACTAGAACACTGTACTTTACATTTTAGCATTTTCCACATAAAACTCTAATATGATTTTTAGGGATGCTAATTAAAACAGTTGCATGGAGGAGGTGGGTCCTATGAAAGTATGCCTTTTCTACAAATTTCAATTAAAAGAATTCACGGTATCTTAGTAGCTCCAAACAAGGGAACTAAGAGAATATATTGTTTTAGCATTGGTTTTCCAATGGTGAATTTTTTGAGTGGCTATTATGGTTAAGGTAATTGCAGGTGAAATTATTCTAAAGCCGTATGTATTTTCTCTGTTTCATTCCGATAAAAAGAGCAGATGGTAGGATAGATCATACCTCATACTGTACTGAGAGTCCTAACTTGAGTGAATATTTTCTAAATAAATGGATACAGAAGTAAAAGGGTTGAATATTGTACTTGCCTAGTTTCAAGATTAGCCTTTTTGCCAGACTTTTACAGGTGGACTTATATAAGAGCTGTTTGTTCTGATCTGCAGAGCACTTAATATTATGAAAATATTTAGCAGAGACGGCTTAATCAGATGGTGAATTAACCAATAGGTGAAGCTGCAAAGTCATCTAGAGGTGTTGTTTCATGTATTTGCTTTTACAGCATGGTCATTAGAGTAGACAGATTTCAGCTGTGAGAAGAGATTTATTTTTTCTAATGGCCAGTGGTTGGAGATCGAGGGCATGGAAGGGAGTCAGCACTCTAGCTCATATCTGCTTTTTGTTTATAAGCAAATGTATCCCAAAATCTTTGTAGCATCCTGTTATCTGCTGCAGTTGTACAACTGCTGTACAATACTGTATACTGTCGGCTTAACAGTGTAAAGCAGGGAGTCTGCATCCCCCGAGAACAGCGCAATGAGAAGTGACTGAATGTTGTGCTGGGCCTCCTCTGTGTTATGCCAGCAGAGGCTTCCTGTTACATTGTATTGTAGATGTCATTCCAAGTGTAGTTTCTCTGATGGCAAAACTGCTTTTCTAAGCTATAGGCTCCCCAGTTGTGCCCAACCGCTTTGTGGAACTGTTTTCTAAAGTAATCTAGAGAAGTGGAGAGGAAAGCAGCAGATGGCTGTGCTGCAAAAATTGTAACAAAGAACATTATTTTTGTTTCTTGATTTTTTTTTTTTTTTTTTTTTTTTTTTTTTTTTTTTTAAATTACTTTGATAGTTTCACTTCTTTCATCCTTCAGGGGTTAGGCGACCATACAGGTAAGATTTAATGGACCACATATAAAGGCTTGTGGGATTTTAAGCCCAAACAGGATGAGGGCAGGGGTTGCTGCCTCTAACCAAGGAGTGCCTGAATGGATGGTTTTCTGTCGGGACACTCACACTGAGCCTTTTTTCAGTGTTTTGTTGTAGAGATTTAGGCCCTTCCCCACAAACCATTACAGATTACGCTTTGCCAAAATAACGTTCATAGTCTGCCTTCTGACCTGCAGTCCTCAGTGATAAAAAACTGCATGATATCAACTTCATTGTAATATAACTTGATGAGACAAGACTGTGGTAGCCAACTCTGAGGGTTGAAAAGGTTGCTTTACTTTTGAACCACACCTTCTGTATCGTAGCTAGTATGAAGTGCTAGCCCACTGCCAGTGTCTTCTCACCCCAGATGCAAGTCATGCCTCTCAGGTTGTATCAAGAAGCTGTTGAAGCCTTATACTTCATGGTTTTCAGATGCCATACCAGCTCTTTCAGCTCTTCTGAGAGAGGTTCAGAAGTGCTCATAATATTTCCTCTGGAGCCAGTAATTAGCCATTTTCCCTTCTTTGCTGTTCCTCATCTCTGTGGTTTCACAATGCTTTCCTCTTTGTTAGTCCATGTGGACATGAAAAATGTGAGATTGCAGGTAGAGGCTGTCCCAGAGTGAAAGGACCACAGCAGTAAGCTACCCAGTTTATCCCAAAGCTGTTATGGTTTGGGACCAAGGCCTAAGGTGCTGATCCTACCAGAAGTGTGATAGATGCCAACAAAATAAAGGCAACTTGGAAAGATGTTCATATGGTTGGTTCATACTGAACATGTAGAAAAGCTGACAGTGGGCTAAAGAGAACTTAAACTGTCTGAAAAAGTAAGAGAAGAAAACAGCTGCTCTGTGTAATCTTAAAAGCATTCAGTATTTCTGTTCCTCTGGGTGCAGAGCTCTGTTGCTTACGAATGAAGCTCCATTGGCCCTCTGTGAAAGGCCTGATTTTGTTGAGGTCAGTAGTAGCATTCCCACTGCATGCAATGTGAGCAGATGCAAGCCAGATAAAACGCAAACAGTAAATTAAGTTAAGCTTTGAAGAGCTCTGCTTCATGCCAATAGAGCAAACAATGTGTGTTGTGTTAAACTCGCCTCTGGTGGCTTCAGTCTATGTTACTGGAGAGCTTGGAAACATCATACCAGTGTCTCAAAGTTTGAAGACTTTCAGGCTTTTTTATGGCTTACAGCTCAGAGAACCCACTTTCAGATAATACTCTTTTCAACCCCAGTTGTTCCTTACTTGTAATTCACAGTTCTTTTTTTCTCCCCAAAGGACCAGCAACACTGGCTTTCTTTTCTTGTTGTCCCACCAAATTGTATTAGCATTTTCCAATTGTGTGCCAAATTGAAATAACAATTCTATAAATAAACTCTCTGAAAATACTGGTCTGTGAGGGTGTTTTCCTATGTCTTGTCTATCTGATGGGTATTTAGTGTTTCTTTGTGCACCAAAGACTTTACTGTTTCTTGTAATGCATCTCAGCAGCTGCACTGCATTCATTCTGTGTGCATGACCTTCTGTCTGAAGGTGTATTGTTATTGACAGGTCCAGCCAAGTTCATGGTAAAAGTGAAGATCTTCACTGGTTTTGTTTTCATATGTGTGTTCTATTGTGAAAGTTGGTGGACTTGTGTGGTGGAAACTGAGTGCTTAGAGATCTCCTATATAGTACTGTTCCTTGGATCTGAAGAAGTTGTCCTTCTAGTACTGTCTCCAAGACTCTTCCTTAATTATGTTACTTCATTCTGCAAGAGGGGCTTTCTTCCATGAGAATGGTAGTACTACAGTAGTAACTCTACCATTACTTGCTCTTTTTCTAATAGTGTGCCACTCTTCTTAAGTGAAACCTTGGAATAAGTTGACAAATGCTTTAATGTCCCACATCAATATGACATTTTGGGCTGCTTTTGGGTGCTGCTTCAAATATGGTTGTTGTCACCTCTATCAGCATAAGCAAGACTGGATGCGCAACAGAATTGTGTGTCATCCTGGCAATGCTGGCTTTCAGATGCTTTGCTGATTCCCGTCTTTCCCCAACTATGAACCAGAATTCTCAGGCAGCCTCTCTGCCAGCACAGTCCAGTCATTATTCACAAACCTATGCTTCAGCATGCCTAAAGTTGTGCTTTGGCACTAACACTGATTGAACATACTACTAAGTACCTTCAGACTCCAGGACAGAGTCGCTGCATGTAGGCTGCTCATTAGGTGACCTGGGATTGTGCAGACTACTGAACTGTGCCTGGGAAATTGTTTGAGATGGAGCTGGTTTGCTTAGGCCAGAAATATGCTGATGATTATGCTATAGTACAGACTGTTGAGCTATGGATCCAGGATCATCCTGGACAGTATATTCGGCTTATATTGACACAGGCAATATATGCCACAGGAGCCTTACATGGATGATTTAAAAACCCTTGTTGATTGTATGTGATCTAACCAGACAATCAGTGTGGAGTATTTGGCAGTAACTGGGAGCAAGAAGTGTCTGTTATAATGCTCTGAAGAGCATTCTGGGGTAGGAACAACACAGAAGAGCAGGAATTCTTCCTATTTTGCAAAGCGTGTGTGCGTGAAAATGGACATTTGCATTTATTGGTGACATAACATTTCCCCAACTGCCTGTAATAACGCTCTGTGGCAACCTGGACAGCCCAGGTGGCAGGCTTGTCTGAGGAAAGCATAGCATGGGTCTAGTTGTTCCCTCAACAGCATAAACCAAATTTGTGTCTCCCTTTTGTTTGTTGAATCAGTTTGTCACATACACCGTTTGATATGTTCTTGTTTTCTTTTCCATCTTTCAGATGGTCATGTTGTCCATATGCTATTCATAAATGCAAGCTAAAATCATTAAAACCTCTGTCAGTTCAGTTCAAATCACGTATGTCGAAGAACCATTTGTATGTTTCTTTCAGTACAATAATGACTGTCCTTAGTAGACTTCTCATCTGTTGGCACACAGGCATCCTGCCTCATGGTTCTTCACTCCAAATGTCTGTTCACTTGTAGTGCTACAATAATTAAACTTTGTCTTTTGGAGTAACTGCACAGTACTGTTTTTAACTTGGTCTTTTTAACTCTAGTGCTTAAAAGCATTCAGGAGTTTCTGCCAAAAGAGGACAATTTCTCATCCCCAAACTGTGTACTCCTACTGCAGAGGATGAAAGTTTAACCTGGCACCACTAGTGGGTACAGAAGTGGTGAAAGCGCTTGTCAGGCAGCTGGGAGGGGGGGCTGTGGCAGTGCTTTGCAATTGGGTCAGATGAACTAGAGTGAATGCCCATTAGCTCTGCTGTGGGCCTAGACTTGGTGACCCTTTACTTGTCACACATCTTTAGTAAAATTACTCCAAATTACAGGACTTCTGCCAAATTAAGCGGTATGATTGAAAGGAAAAGCACAATAAACATTGTGCTAATCTAGAGTAATTCTGTTAGGGCAATTGACTGACATGAAACTACACAGGTTTGGCTTTTACATTTTAAAACTAACCATTTTTCTTCCAAAGGGATATATTTACTGTACAGTTCAGAATGCATCAAGTTTGCGCTCCTGTCATCTTGGCTCCAACCAGGCTGTGTGGGTCTGGTGTCTTTGTATTTGCAGGACTATAGGACTGTACTGACACAGGTCTGCTTGCTATTCTGGTACGATCCTGATCTTCTTTACAAAATAGTTTTGTGCAGGTGTAAGGTTGGCTTTTGGAACCGAAACTACACTCCTTCCTAATATGTTTAGGCTAAGAAAATGCATATGCTAAAATAGCTTTCAGCACTGACGCTTGGATCTCTAATACTGAAGGACTTGGACGGGGGGGGGGGGGGGGGAAGCCACAACAGAGTCCAGTAGAGGGCTCTGTCTTTCATGGATGCCCTGCAGAGCCAGAAATATTTTGAATGTGCACGCCCATTTAATCCTTTTGACCTTTCTCAGTTGTGTCATGTTTTTACTCAGGCGGGCACCCACAACATTCTAGAGTCAGATCCAGAGGACTGTACTGAATTGCTGTGGTACAATTTGACAGCTACTTGCTATTTCTAATGCACATTTTCTCTTGTATTTTTAATTTGATTTAATATTGCAGTACGAATGCACAATTTGTACAGTGCTTTTAAGGTACTGGTAATATACTTTCTGTTAAGTAGCTCTTTTCAGGATCCTTAAAACTTATCCCACGCATTCACAGACGTCTGTAACTAGAGCTTGAAAGTCGCAGTGTGAACTTCCCATGAAGATGTCTAATGTTCATTCTCATTTCCTAAGAAGTTTTGCTTCTGTAAGTGGTTAAAACAAGGTCAGTTGTGACAACTGTACATCTAAGTCTTGTGTGCTCTTGGGTACATAACCTCTCCTCCTGCCTCTTTAATTGCTCATGTCTGATACTATTAGAAGAGTGACTCCTCCACTTCCCTCAGCTCGACAACAATTACATTACAGTCTCATGGAAATAATATCTTCATTCTCACCTACCATAAGCATGACTTGATAACCCTCTATAAAGGCCCCTCCCCTTTTTTCTTAAAATCTAGGTGTTCCCCAACAGACAATTTTTATCAGTTTAGTTTAACAGATGAAAAAGCTGTTTGAGGGTTTTTTGGTACATCTGTCACTGGCATTTTGTGCTCTGTGTTCATTTCTCACATGGAGGAAAAGAAAAAAAGTCATTTTCTCTTTCAGCCTTTTCCAGAAAGCTTGTGGTGCTTCTCTCCACAATTGTCTTCCGGTAAGGCATTAACAACATCAAAATATAATATTACTGCTTTCTTTGCATTGCCTTTTATTCACATCATATAGACTTTTAGGACTGTCACCTTCCTGCCTGTGGAAAAGGTCCATGTCCCCACGCTTCAGCTGCACAGACAAAGCAATGTGTGCTGCTCTCTGCCTCTGCAGACTCTCACTGAGGCAAGATGAAAGAGGGGAGTTTTGAAGAACATCCATTTGCTACAACCCAGACTTCACTCTCCAACTGCAGAGATTGCACTACCATGGTGGAAGCTAACATAAATGGGTCTTTGCCTGCCAGAGGTATGGTACAGATACCAGAAGGTCTAACAACACCACCAGATAAAAGAGCTGGAAGAAAATAGGCATGCTAATTTTAAACAGAGAGCTGACAGTGAAGAAAACAGATTGGGACTTTCATGGGTTTACATCTGTCTCCTAATGCGATGCTAATTTCAGAGTTGTCAGTTGTGTGTGCAAGTAACTCCTGTTAATTATATATAGCTGCATATATAAGTACAATACTTAATATGAAAACTAAGTTCCTTAGCTACTTTGGGAGATGAAAGGGAATTAAAAAAAGAAAGCTAATATTAAAATAATAAAAAGAAAAAAATAATGCATTTTCTTTTTGTTTGGAAGCCTTTGAATCACTGCATTGTTCTTGGTCCATGTTCATCACAGGCGTTTTCTGCAGTGCTGACTGAAACAGGACTAATCTGAGCTTCTCTGTGTGTCTGTCTTCTAACTGCAGGGGCACGCTGGGGGTGACGGTTCATCATTCTGTGGGCTAATTGGAGTCAGCAGAGAAAAATCCTTACTGAGAGTAGCACTCTCTGGGTTTCTGTTTCCTTGTCTGACACTTTTACCTGCAGAAACTGCATTAGGGCAAATAAAGGTCTGCAGAAATTTTCTCCCCAGTGAGAAGCCTGGTGAGATGATGCCTGCTGCTGCTTCCCATTTGGCATCATTTCTGTTGGAAAGAAAGGAACAATTTTCCTCGGTCCCCATCTGCTGAGTCACTTGAAAAGGAAAATAAGAATCATTCCTACCTATTCTTGAAACTCCCCAGCCGAGACTCAGACTTCTTATTAAAATTGCAGTTGAGGGGGAAAAAGTACATGAATAATCCAGTTTTCAATCTGCTACCACACCAAGTCCTTCTGTGCACAGCTGCTTCCAATTCCTTTAGCCCTAGCCTGTATCAATATAGGGGGGGTTGCTCAGACCCAGGTGCAGGACTTGTTGAAGCTCATGACGTTCACTATTGGCCTTGTTGAAGCTCATGAGGTTCATATGGACCTACTCACCCTTCTTCAGATCCCTTTGGATGACATCCCATCCCTCAGGTATGTCAACCACACAGCTCAGCTTTGTGTCATCTGCAAACTTGCTGAGGGTGCACTCAATCCCACTATGTCATTGATGAAGATATTAAACTTTACTGGTCCTTGTATGGACCCCCTGAGGGACACCGCTCATCACTGACCTTCCTCCCATTGAGCCACTGATGACTACCCTCTGGATGTGACCATCCAACCAATTCATCATTTGCCAAATAGTCCATCCATGAAATCAATCTATTTCCAAGATGTTGTTGGAGACCGTATCAAATGCATTCCGTAAGTCCAGGTAGATAACATCCACAGCCCTTTTTTTGTCCA